CATCATCATCATAAAGATCGGTACCGTCTGGCGTGCTCAGTACTTGGTATATTCGGCGACTGTGTTAGGGAAACCACGGAAACGCCTCGTTTTATGATGACAAAATAATGCATTTACGTGCACAAAATGCACGGAATTTTTGATTTATTCAATAGATAATAAAAACAAGTGAATATTGATTGGAGGAATATCTTGTTCAAATTTTTCCAATCGCGATCAATCATATAAATTCGAGAATTTGTTGCTTTTTTTAGCGTCCTGGAAAAACCTTACGAAGTGTCTTGACATGGTCATGTGGTATTCGGTCATTGCGAGAATTTGTATGCACCACTTCAATACTGTTACGCATTTGACGACAAACGTTTGGTTGCTGGGTACATTATCAAAGAGCTTTGGGGTGATGTGGCTGGCAGAAAGGCGAGCGAACGTTCAATGAAAATGAACTTTAAAACAACAATAATTTATGGTGATCCTAGAAAGGACCGTTTTGTCGTAGTGGTTGAGTAATGCTGAGCTATTAGGGTGTTCAACACGGATGAGGCTGGCTAGCTGTATGTTGTTTGGAATGAGGGTGACGCACTTGGCATAGATGACCCACATATTGCACCAATACATTTAGACCTACAGTTCCACACCTTCTATAGACAGGTTGAGCCTTGATAGCTAGCTGCTTGCGGGAACTGACATTCGATTGATGACCTTGACAAATATCCAAAACATACTCTTTAACAAATTTATGGTGGTCCGGGAGCAAGGGTGACGCGCTTGGCATAGAAGACCCACAGCGACTCACGAAGAAACGGATTTCGATCCATAGCGGTGCGGCTTCTTCTTCCTTCTATGGATGCTCATGTGGGCTCTGCAGCTCGCTGCTTGCAGGTTGCCTTTCGTTATGTACTGGAGAACAATATTCAACACCACACGCTGAAAGCACTGCTGCTGCTGATGCTGCTGTGAGACAGGATAGAATTCGATTTTTAAATCTGTGTTAGGGAATGCGCTGTTTGCAGGCAATCGGTGATAATTTTGATCACCATTGCACCAGTTGGACATTTGTGTTTTTCAATAGTGACCTATTGAACATTAATAAAGTGTTCGTTTTAGCAGATTGGTAAATAAATTTCCAATCGATTGGCTTGTTTAGAATTAAAATCCATCTGCTATTGACAGAGTTATATGTGGTCAAAACCTGACCTCTTTTCGTAATGCGGTCGATTCTGGTTTTTTGAAATTGTACCCCCAATATGTTGCCAAAAGACGTAATCCTACGTCAAAAACGCCGATCGGTTGGAAATGAATAAATATCCAACCGTCAACTAGTGGGCAGCAGCATAGTGATGATCTAGGTCCATCAACGAGTGGTCATCAATCCTTAGATGTGCTAGGTAAGAACAGTCATCCTGATGATTCTATCAACTTTTAACTGCAACCTCCTAATTGCACTTATTATTTTTTTTTATTTTCTTCGTTCCTTCAGATACGGTACCATCGGTTCCATCATTGGAGTCAGTTCCACCAGCAGATGATCTGCAACGCCCATACAATGTTGAGAAGTTTAATGGTTTTGTGGAAATGTTGAATTTATCTCCAATTTCATCGAGGAACACGAGGAGCATGGATTATCGTTCAAAAAAATCTCTAGACATTACACAAGCAGTGCGAAAAAATATATTTGGCCTAGATACAGCAGATATTAGCAAAGTAGAGGGCATACGAAGAAATGATTGTGCAGCTAAAGGAGAAGTTCAATTCCCTTAGAGCTGACAGAAAAGATCAGATAACAGTATTATCAAAGTCTTGGTCCGTGAATAAAGTCGTAGCAGAATTCAAAGCACTAACATACATTGTGAGGCAGGTGAAGAGCCTTGTTAATGAGCAATTATCATGCAAAAATACATGCATTTGAAGTTTATTATAATAAACTTGAAAATGTTAGCTTCATTATCATCACTGGCGTGCATAGGAGGGGGCAAGGGGGGGGGACAATTGCCCCCTCCCTTTATAAATAAGATATTTATTTCCACATTTATAAAATTATGATACAAAATAACTTGATTTCTTGATAACCTGATTTGAAGGTAAAATATATAAATATTTTATTGCGTCAATTCCATCGAGAAGGCTGTTCCAAAAGATTTCTGGGGAGTATTCCAAGAAAATTCTGCGAATAATTTCTAGTGAATCCTGCAGATAGTTCTTAGATGATTCCTAAAAGAATACCGAGAAAATTAAATTTTGAGTGAAATTCCGAAGGGATTTTGAGGAACATTTCAAGGGAGAACAGATAATTTCAAGCTCATTCCGGGAAAAATTTCTGGATAATACTGAGAAAATTCTTCTGAAACTCTAAGAGAATTTTAGTTCCAAGAGGTTCGGAGTAAAAGTCAAGAAGAGTTCTAAAAATAATTCCAGAGGACTTCTGGGAAGAATTTCGAAAGAGTTCATAGAGTTCTAAAAATTTCGAAAAGAACCTCAAGGAATTCTGAGGATGGATTTTTTTTTTTGCAAATGTACAGCTTTTGCATTCCCAAATTGAAAAGTGGGTATTAGTTCGCCTATTGTTGTCTTACTAAGAGTTTGTCTAAATATCTTCTCTGACAATTTCAAGTCATTTGTTCCCGTGGTTAAAAATTTACAGCTGTTTATGTGCGTTGCAATAAATTAGGGATTGTCCTTTATATCATCTTCAAAACAGGTTAAATGTACGGTATCATTTCCTGTCAACCTGACTGGCGGTACTTTGGCACAGGGTAGACTTGCTCAATCCTTCGCACAAGTCGTCATTTCGTTAACAATTTTGTATTCGCTTGTTAAAATCGTTTTGTGCGCTGTTTCAATCGCTACATATTTTTAAACCTTTTTAATGATCCTATTAGCCTTGGCATTTCGGTCAAAATTGGAAAAAATAAGAACTACAATTTTTGCTGAAAATGACTAGGTTCAACGTACTCGCAACGGTAATAGTAAAGTGTAACTACAACAGCATATAAGGGCTTACAAAATTTTGAAATAGTCCAAAATAAACTGTAACAATGCCTTCAACATATACAAAAACGTATTGCACAAAATTTCAGAAAGGTAACGGAATAAAAGATGATACCAGTACCTCGAAGAATATATTTTTTTTTTGGTTTATATTTTCAACCTGTAAAGAAGAGCATGACGCAAAACATTATTACAATGATACCCACAGGGTTAAGAAATTGGAAGAAAGTGACCGAGTTGCTGGGCAAACACAATCGCAGTGATACCCATGTTGGTAGTATGGAAGCGTGGAAGAATTTCAAAACCAGGAAAGGTATCGACGAAGAACTGGACCACCAAAAAACAGCTATGATTGCTGCTAGTGAGGCAAAGCGGCTACAAAATCCCAGTTGGTGGCTAGCTACGATCCTGTGCTGCAAAAACGCTTGGCGGAAGGTGCCAAAAATTGCCAGTACACAAGTAACCTATTCAAAATGACTTGATTATGCCGTTGCACAATGTAATGTTGCGGAACATTGCGAAAACCTTGCGTGGAAAACCAGTGGCAATCATTCCAGATAAGATGAGCAATTGTGGCCACCACGAACAGTTGGTGATTGTCATCAGGTAGGGGAAATGTATGTAATGTCGGCCTCTAATTTGGGCCCATACATAAATTCAGCATGATTAAATTTTCAATAGCAACCAAAAATATCCATTAGTACCGTCCCAATGACGCGTTCATCTAGATACAATTGATAAATAGCAAATTTTTAGCGATGGGCCCAATCTTAGATCCATAGGCCAACATTAGAGCCATTTCCCCTATATTGATAATGTCCGAAGGAGTTGTCATTTTTCCATAATATTTTTTCGAAAAAAATCGGCAAAAAAAGTTTGGCCCTTCTCAAAGGTTAGTCTAGATAAATTTTGGAAAAACTTAGTATATGCTAAGTGGCTTATTTAGTCAAGGTCCACATATCCAGAAAGTTTCATTGAAATCTGAGAGGGTGCTGCCAGCTCCGAATACGATTTGGCGCGAAATACGTCAAATATTACTTTCATTTTATGTTTGACATGACTCAAATAGGTCGAATCAATCGAAACGCAATCTCAGATCTCTTTGCTATCTTAATCAATTTTATACGGCTCCTATCCATTTCATCTGGGAGATGCTGCTAATTTTGCTTGCATCGAATCCAAGGGGCATATATGCTGAAGAGAACCGCAAAAAGTGCATGATCAGTCAAAATGGTATACTCGGGGTAGGTCTGGGGGATTAAAATTAACAAAAAGGAATAACTTAAAAGTATTTAATTATTTAATAAATTCAGGGTGGCCACTGAAACGGGAAAACCGGGAGAACCGGGAATAGCCCGGAAATTGAAAACAATCAGAAAAACTATGAAATAACCGGGAATTATCATTTGTATTATCGGGAACTTATCATTTGTAATTAGTTCACATTTTCCAAAACAAAAAAGGCTGTGGTGCGAAAGAAAATATAACGTTCTTGTAATCAACTTCACCCTAATCATCAAGCTCCCCCCGTTCGTCAGAAACAACATATAAACATATCGACCACACTCTTGTCTTGTCACATGCACATTAAGTGCAATTTAAGTTTTGTAAACAGACACCGCCAAAATGAAGATTGATTCGATAAAAAAAAAAACAATTACAATCAATTTAATCAATCGCTCGCCAAAGTGCGAACCTTGTGTATGTAATTGGTGGTATTTCAACAAATTTGCGAGATTAAACACGCAATAAAATTCCACCCGATATGAACTGCAGCACCTGTGAATGGAGTGGTTTTTTTTACGTGCGGCTCCAATCTATACCCGCATCAAGTTTCATCGCGTGTTGTCATTTGAAAGCCGCGCGTGTGGAATAATTGGGGAGGAGATCCTATCCAACGTGACCGTTTTGGTGATGGGATTGGATTCGGGTTTGGTTTCGGTTTGATGAATGAAACTGATACTGTCGGAGATCGGTTTTGGTTACCCTTGCGGATTGCGACTACAAATACTCACTGGTTTGCCTCGAGGGACTAAAGTGCGGCGAGTGGCCACGCGGTATGTTGAGGTCGACCATGTTGGAACCGGTGCTGCTGGTACTGGAATTACTGCCTCCCCCAGCACCTCCCCCGGGCACAGCACTGGTCGAGCTGCGGAGTCGGGAGTTACGCTTGAAGTCCGATGCACCGGCACTGGACGTCCGCCAATGCTGGATGCTGGTTTTGGCTGAGTTGTTGTAGGAATACCGCGACGGCGACGAGTGTGGGCTACCGTGATGCCCCCGGTACGGGGGCTCACCTAGACCGTTGCCGGAACCATCGTAGCTGGAAGGACAAGAAAAAGTTGAAAATTAATTTTCACGTTTATTTTTAAAGCAACAATGCAACAATTGGAAAAGTTCAAGTGTTACTTGCACTGGAGGTAGAAGTACCCAAAATCCAATCCAGATAATTCACATTACCCGTTTATATGTAACAATATACTCAATAAAAAAAATCACGTTTGGTAACCCTAGCAGCATTGAATTTACCTTTTCAAAGCGCCATTCTGTCTCCCTACGTGTACCATTCCCAGAAACAGCACAGTGTCTGCCCGGTTCAGTGTTGGCATATTGACTACTCACCGATGATTTATTTATATATTCCCATATTGAATGCAGAAATTGTACACCGCATCTCAGTTGCGCGTTTCCACAAGATCGGTTGCAAATCGCGATCAGCATGTGGTTCAGCTTCAAAGTGTATACCATTCTGACTGATCCTGCATTTGTTGCGATTTTTTTCGGCATATATGCCCCTGGGGTTCGATGCAAGCAAAAAGAGCACCATCTCCCAGATGAAATGAATCTGAGCCGTATAAACTTTATCAAAATAACAGCGCGATCTGAGATTTCTTTGCGTTTGATGCTTTGTGTGTGTGTGTTTTTTTTTTGTTTTAATTTAGAACCGATGAAACAAGCCCCGGCTCAAGTGGCTTGGAAGCTGGAGAAAAGATAAGAACCGAGAAAGAAGCAATAACCATTCAACATCACGCAAATAGCCGTCATTTGGATGCTTGAAATTTATATTGCAAAACGAAGACCACAGAATGATTCACCAAATCGTCCGTTGGCAGGCATTATAGTTGGCAACATTTTGAAATAACAATAAAACACAGCCGATTCATTGTCCTTTTTGCAGCCTCCGCAGATTCGTGGCTGGCCACTCGGCGAGAGGATCAGAAATCGACGCGCAACCCCTCTGGAAAGTGGTTGAAATATGGAAATTGAAACGGGACAAATGTGATAAGTCCATGTGGAACTGGAAGATAAAACCCACACCTCTAGCCACGCGAATGGGACGGACAGTCAGTCAGTAAGCGGTAAGGTCATCATGGTGTGTAATTGATGAACCTGCATGCAACCGAACCGAGTCGAGTCGAGCCGAGACGATGCAAACTGGGATGAAACTCAACCTTCACGCCTTGTTTTGTGCAGTCGAGTGGGAAATTGAATTTAATGAAGCTGAAGTGTCAATTTGGATGCGCCTTTTGTGCTAAACCAACCTGGAAGACCTTCGATCTGTTCGATGGAATTAAGCTGCGAAGGCGTTAGTCAATACCGATGACGGTTGAGAGACGTTTATTGATTTTGCTTCTGGATTACGATGGGAATAAGTGCATTTGCTATGGGAACTTGACAAGCCCTCTCTGCAGGATATATTCAGTTGTTTGTCCGAGGACATATCAATATAAGTTGTTTTGATTATTTTGACGTAGACTACATCTTACGGGAAGGTACTGGGGGTAAATCAAAATTCTAAAATTGCGACCGTCACGAAAAGGTGTAAGGTTTTGAACACTTATAACTTTGTCATTTATAGATGAAATTGAAATACAAATGCACCAATCGATAGTTAAAAACTCTCAAAATTTGCTGCAATAAATGCTTTTTCAATTAAAAAAAAAAAAACTGTTGAAAAATTTACAAATAAAAAGTGATAATTTTATCATTTATGAAATATACGTTCTTTCCAAACCCAGTGGTCATAATCGAGTACCGTAAAACGGGGTATCTTTGATAATACGGGTAACTTTGATAGTATAATATAAAGATTAAATTTACTCGCTGCGATTTTTCCAAATTTGAAACTTTGGTTCCATATTGTAGGTTTCCGTTGATATCGTATATAGTTTTTATCTAGTATGTGCAACATATCAGGCATAACATTTGATAACGGCACAAAAGCTTTTGTAAACAAACTTTCTACGGCCCTTTACACTCGAACCGAAGTACGCTCACGCAAACCAACAACATCTTTGGATAGGGGCAACTCTCACCTTTCCGAAAGTGGTATTGGTTTGCGTAGGCGTACTTTGGTTCGCGTGTAAAGGGCCTTAAAAAGTTTGTTTACAAAAGATTTTGTGCCGTTATCAAATGTTATGCCTGATATTATACAAACATATTAAAAAACAATTTTAGTGTTTTTCGCCTGTTTGAAAAAAACACTCAAACCATTACTTTTGAAATGTATTTCTGATATAGCCATAACAAATCCAATGTTGTATTCCTATTGCTTATGAGGTTTTCTGATTATATACTCATTCAAAGTTTAATATTTCTTGAACTGAATTGTTTAAGTTTCACCCATTTTTTTCTACATTCATCGAGCATTATCAAAGTAACCCCAAATCAAAATACTGAAGTTCGGTCACAAAACTAAAAAAAATGTGTAAATCCTTTAATTTAAGTTAAACATATTACTAACGAATTAACTCTTGGATCCTCAGTACTTGTTTTAAAAATATATGATTTGAAAAACATTCATTGCTGCAAACAATATTTAGAATATACTTTAAAAAACTATCAATGTTACCCCGTTTTACGGTACCACTTTGCTGCACATCGATCTGTTTGAATCTGAAAAGTTATAAAACAACGCTGTTGTCGTGCTTCAACTCACAAAACCATTTTGGAAGATGGCCAAAATTTTGAAAAATAAGTCGAGACCGATCCCTCCGCTTTCCTCTGATGACCAGAACTTGGACCTATCCCTACTCATAACCCCAGTTGAAAAGGCCAATGCCCTTGGCAACATTTTGTGATTTCTTATAATCTTGGTCAAACCATGGTGAGCCCCCATGAGCCTACCGTACTGAAGGCAATGTCTAGAGTCGCTGACACCCCCGTAGTAGTGCATGATGATAGTAGAATTTCGGCTGATGAGGTGATAGCAGCTATTAGAAGCACTAAAAACAAGAAGGGTGCGGGTATGGATGGTGTAGTCAACCTCGAGTTGAAAAACTTGAGCATTGACTTCTTGAACCATCTTACCCTTATCTTCAACAAATGCTTGGAGCTTGGCTACTTCCCTGCATGCCGGAAGTTAGCCAAAGTGATTCCAATACACAAGCCTGGCAAAGATCCTACCAGTGCCAAAAGCTATCGCCCCATCAGCCTCTTGTCCTCCATTTCGAAGCTATTCGAAAAGTTGATACTCAGCCGTCTGCTGGTGTTTTCAAATGGTAATAACATGTTTCTCAAAGAGAAATGCGGCTTTAGGAAAGGCCACTCTACCATCCACCAACTCGCACGGGTTACTAACATCATCAAGCGGAATAAGTCCGTTTCCAATACATTTGCCATGGCATTGTTGGACGTCGAGAAGGCGTTCGACAATGTCTGGCATGATGGTCTAGTGTACAATCTGCATCGATACAACTTTCCGATCTACCTCGTGAAGATCGTCAAAAACTACTTGTCGGGCAGATCATTCCAGGTCTACTTGAGCCATGTCCCCTCTGATAGGTTCAACGTTGATGAAGGGGTATCTCAGCCTATCCTATTGAACATTTTCACGTCAGACGTTCCTCCCCTGCCGGGTGGTGGTTTCCTGTCTATGTTCGCAGATGACACCTCCATCATCTATAAGGGTCGAGTGATCCGTGCTCTGGCGAGTAAACTACAATCAGGCCTGGATGTTCTGTCCGACTATTTGAAGATTTCAAGGAAGATTTGTATCAATGCAGCTAAAACACAAACCAATCTGTTTCCACACTCGAATTCAACTCGGCTTGTTCCACTTGCTAACGTCAAGGTCCATCTTGATAGCACTCCCATTGAATGGTCGAGTGAAGTAGTTTACCTTGGTCTCACCCTCGATCAGGCATGGAACATCATTTATTATCATTTCATGCATTCATTTATATTCATTTGCCTCTAACTTATTAAATCAACAACATTCCGCAAAATGATGTATAGAGCTTTAGTATATTTTGTTATTAGCTACAACTTTTATCCAAAACTCAAATCTGTATCTCTTATGCATCACGAATTAGAGCTGGCAGAACTTGCTACTTTTTTTTTCAAACTGTGAAATACATTCACTGAAAAACAGTAGTTGATTCTATTCGCTCTGGTTCGTCATGCATAAGAGATACGGATTTGAGTTGTTGTAGTTAATAACAAAACCTACAAAAACTCCATACATCAATAAGCGGAATTCTGTTGATGAAAAAAGTTGAGGGGAAATGAATGTACATGAATGCACAAAATGAATGCAAATGATTTTCCATACCAGCCCTCGATAGCAAATTGCTATTCCGATCCCATGTGGACAAGACATCCACCAAGTGTAACATCTTGATCAGGTTGCTCTACCCTCTGTTAAACAGGAAGACCACCCTGTCCCTCAGAAACAAGCTTGCTGTCCATAAGCAGATCATTTGCCGGCTATTGAGTATGGTATGCCAATCTGGGAGAGTTGTGCTAAGTGCCACCACCTGAAGCTTCAGAGGATCCAAAACAAGATCCTCAGAATGATCCTTAACAGTCCACCGCGAACTCGTAATTCTGAAATTCACCACCTGGCCGGTCTTCAAACACTCCAGGAGCGAAAGACTTCCACGCTGGAAAGATTCAGAGTCGCCTGTCTGGGATCAAACCACCAGATCATTTGTGATTTGGCAACCTAGTTTAAGTTGTTAGGTAGCTTCCTGTGCTCAAATAGGTAGGTTATCAAATTTTTAAATTCAAACGAAAACAATCCCATAAAAGGGTATCCTGTAAATTAGCGATAAACGCAATCATCACATTAGAATAACTAATTAACTAGATCCAAGATGAAGAGCCAAAGGCTAACCAATTGAAATGTTAAAACAAATGTTGAAACATAAAAAACCAAAAAATAAACGTAAATTTTACTACTCTAACATAACCCGAGCAAAGTAAACTAACAACTTGATATCATCTTGAAAACAAGTCTTGTTATTCCAGATATCATTTTGTTTTCTGTTGTTATCGCATAACTAATTTAGTTATCAACATCGACTAATTTTGTTATCATTT